GAAACATAAGCATGGGCTGCAGTTCTGCCCTTTGAAGGCTCTGAAGACAGGAGGGTAACGCAGTACAAGAAGAGGGAGAGAGATGGGGAGGAGGTGCTGGTCATCGTGACTGCTTGACTCCGAAACCACGAGGCTCAAAGTAGCAGCGGCCCTGCCCTGTTTGCTGGCTCTGCGGGACAGTAGACAGTGCAGCTGTTGCTGTTGGTTGCTCATGTGGCTGTGCTCATGTGGCATGGGCTCAGGGCTGGGCTGCCGGGGGTGGGTGGCTTCTCCGAATGTCCTGTCGGGACCTCTCCCTCCCCTTCTTCCGCAGGGCTTAGGGCTCCTCGGCACAAAAGCAGCAGCTGCCAGCCCTTCTTGAGGCTTCCACCTGAGCTTGCCTCCTGCCTCTTTCCTGCGCTCCATGGTTAACTGGGTGCAAGCCGGGCTCCGCTCACCGGGAGGACTGGCTCTTCAGGGGCCACCAGAATAACAACACAGATACTTCTGCCGTCCTTTCCCACGGAGGGGCGAGACTGCAAATGGAAGCAGCTCGACCTGATTCCTAGTGCCCATCCCCACCCCCTCTCCCCAGGGAGCGCCTGCTGGACCTGCAGTGCGAAGGCCCTGATCCTCTTTCCTTCCAGCCACTGAGGATGAGGCCTCTGCTGTCCTTTGGCCTCACGAGGAGCTCTGCCTGCGTGGCAGCCTGGCTTCCCCAGCATCCTGGCTTCAGAGCCATGAGGCTGGCTGAGACCCAAGAGCACCGGGTGGGGCTCAGCTGCCGGCGCTGTGGTGAGCCGAGGATGGGGGCGCGTCACCCCTTTCCTGCCTGCGTCGTCAGTGGCCATCACTCAGGCCCGTGGTGCTGTCCATGTGGGAATGGCAGAGGGATGGATGGGACAGATGCTACCTGAACAGCTGAAGTGGGCAGGACGGTGCCTTGGTAAAGACGTCCTTTCAGGTCCTGGGCCACTCCCCTCCTGAGGTCAAGCTGCACAGGGGAGTTCAGCGTCAACGTGAGCCCTCCTGAAGCCAAGTGCTCTCCCCAGCTTCTGAGTTTCTCAGTGGCTGCTGCGGGGAGTGGGGCTCCCTTGGGCTGGTGCTCCTTGTTGGGTTGGTTGATGTCAGCCCCTCCCGGCCATGAAGATAGGAAGGGTCCTTCCCCGGGCGCAGGTCCCCTGCAAAAGCTATGGGTCTGGAAGGCAGCCCGTGCGTCAGGCCAGAGTCACACAGGCCTTACATTGCTGCCATCAGCTTGGCCACCATAGGAGTGGTGTTTCCTGCGGAAGAGTACCAACTCTGGGGGACAGGTGATGGCAGTTCGTCCCCCAGCCGCCCCATGTCACCCATCCTCCCCAAAGCCAGTGTGCGTCTCTCATGCTGCCCACTTGCTCCGTCACACAATTGAAAACTGATGTTACCCTCATCCCACCCTTTGTATGTGAAACCTCTGGCTTCATTTCCTGCTGAGGCTGCCACTGGGTGCCCAGCGATGGGCAGAGGGGCCAGCATGTGACCTTGTCAGCGGGGCCTCACTTTTCTGACAAGGACTCTCCCACATCTGCAGCTTTGCACCTCACCCCAGCTGGTGACTCTCCTGCCCTCCTCCTCGCTCTCCGTCCCCACCTTCCCTTCCTGTCGCCCCGCTCCCCACAGTGCCTCCAGGCGGGTCCTGAGCTGCTCAGATGCCCTTTCTCTGGTGATCTTTGCCTGGAAGGAAGACCCTTCTCCCAGTGCCTGTCGTCATCCTTTCGGGGATGCAGGGCTGAGGGCCCCACAGGGTCGTGGGGTGTCCCTTAGGCTGTGCTGAGGCGCAGGATCCGAGAAATAAAGAGACAGGACACAGAAGTACAAGGAAAACACAAGGCCACGCCACCTATAAGTGGAGTCAGGCGAGGCCTTCAATGTCCAGAAGCGTGAGTATTTATTGTGTATAGGTTAGGGGGCAGGGCAGTGAGTGAAGTCATCTTTAAGGATAGTGATAGGGTCATGAGCAATAAAACAAGGGATTCACCCCCATTAGGTCACCTAGGCCAGGAGGTGGACAGTGCGAAGCAAGGGGTCCATTTCCATTAGGTCACTGAGGCATGGAGGTGGACAGCGTGCAGCAAGGGGTCCATTCCCATTAGGTCATCGAGGCAAGGGCCATGTGCAGTAAGGGGTCCACCCCCATTAGGTCACCGAGGCATGGAGGTGGGCCGTGTGCAGTGAAGAGGGTGCAGTGTGCAATACCTCTATCTATGGGCAAGCTACTTCTAAGATTTTTAGGAGGATGCTTTAAGTCACACAGCAGTGACAGAGCTGTCAGGGTCTATGGCAGCTTCCAGTGGGTTCTATGGGAAGATGCTTTTTGAGCAGGGCAGTAACAAGAGCTGATAAAGTTCACAGTCACCAAGGTGCGATTGCCAGTCTGAGGGCAGCCTTCCACAAGAACTGGAGCGAGGTCCTACAGCTCCTTTATCGGGAGGAGTGGCTCTCGCCCCAGGCCTGCCATACAGCGGGTATCTTTACGACACTGAGCGCGGCCGCCTGGGCCATGGATTCTTGTGCTGGTCTAACTGTCTTCCCTTAAACCATGCCTAAAAAATATCATGTGTGTGTGTCTGTGTGTGTAAATAACTGAGTAGTAACACTATAAACTGAGAGATTCTCCAAGCCCTAATTCTATAAACTAATATATGATTATATAAAGGATTATATAAAAGGAAATCACTGAGTAATAACACTATAAACTGAGATATTCTTCACTAATTGTGCCAGGATTCTGCTTAGCTCTCCTTCCTCCTTACCTATATGGGGGGTTACCCACAGGAGGCTCTTGCAGGCTGCAGCTGAACCTGGCTGTTGCTGCTCTGGGGCCCCACCTGCCTCCTTTGCCTCTGCTGCTGCTCCTGGGTCTTAAGGAGCTTGCTGTTTGTCGGTGGAGGCAGACGCTCCCCTGTGTGTTTGCAGGGAGTAAGGAGGTTTCACTTCAGGGGAACTTTCAAGCTTTTTAACCAAGTGCCGTCAGGGCAGCGCAGAAACCCACAGAGCAGAGTCGCAGACGCCCTCGTCCCCGACCTTTCAACTCGAGAGCTTCCCGTGGTCTCTGCCAGGCGGGCTGCACCCTGGGCTGGTGGCCCAGGCTGGTTCTGATGCTGGAGCCAGGGCTCCGCCGGGGAGGTGGGTAGGAGCCCTAGAAGCCTGGGCTCATGGCTGTGCTGTTCCTGGTGCCGCAGGCTGGCGACAGCATTGGGGATGCCGCTTCTGGTACTTGACAAGGCCACCTGGATTCCAGGGGGGGATTGGCTCCTGTCCCATGTGGACCGGAAGGGAGGTCTGGGCCGGAGCCACCAATCCAACCTGTCTACGCCAGCCCAGCCCGGCATTGCCCATCCTGCCTTGCCTGGAGAAGCACACCATGGTGGCAGTTGTGTTAGAGCCAATGGACCCGAGGCTCAGGTAGTGCTCAGCAGCTGGGGTTGGTCTCAGCCCCGGCCTCACGTCCTTCCCCAGCAGGTGCCACTGCTGCTTAGACTGCCGCTTCTCCTGGAGGGCGCGGTCCCTTTACACACACCGGTCCTGCTTTACTGTTAGGCTGTCCACGTCTTCCCTGGGTCTCTGCTGTCCCTGAGGGAACTAACTCATCCAGTGCACCCTCCCGCGTCCGAGCCACGCCGCCCTTCCCGCCCCTGAGCACCTCCCCCATTTCTGAGCCATCCCTCCCTTCCTGCTTCTGAGCAGCTTGATTGCTTGAGCCGGAGGATTCCAGCAGGTTCCTTTTTCATTTCCTTCACAACCTGGGGCTTGAGAAACTCCATCACCCCTGCCCTCCATGCCAGGCGAAGCAGAAGGTGTCCTCTGGGTAATCAGCCCCTCCCGTCTCTGTTCAGGGTCAGTCAAGTCCTATCCCACTTGTCTCCTCCACATCCAGTGTGGCTAGGACTCATCGGCCACACCGACCAAGGGTGACTGCTGGCTTCCAGGGTGCCTCGTGCTGTTGCCTCCTCCCTGGGGCAGAGCTGGCACCCAGGCTGCCAGAGACCCCTGAGGGTCACGTTTCGCATCCTGAGCAGGGTCCTCCAGCCCTCGAGGAGCCTGGGACAGAAGGGCTTGCTCCCAGAGCCTGCCCCACCGCCTGGCGAGGCTGCCCAGCCAGGAAGGAGGAGAGCCGAGGCGGCTGGGCCCCTTTTGCCTGAACCCGCAGCAGCAACCTCACGTTGGAGAAGTGGCTGCCCTTGCATGCACGTTTCCTGCCCTGCCCATACCCTGGAAAAGATGTCCTAAGAGTGTCAGGTGCCACTGTGCCCCTTCCATCCTTTCAGTGAGGTCAGCTGCACGTTTTGCCAAAGTCTGATCAATTCTGGTCACAAAAAGTGCTTTCTGGTGGGCCATGGGGCTTCCTGGGTATCTCTGTGGCACACAGTGGTGGCCCAGTGCACCCGTCCTGAGTCAGATGAAGGCTGAGAACCCATTGCCATTAAAGTCGGCTTTACCCTTTCCTTCCTGCGGCATGAACTGTGAGAGCGCTGTGTGTGCTATTGCTGGCAACTTTGTACTTCAGTATGAGGAAGGAGAATGCTTTTAGAGATTTTGCTGTATTTTTTTTTTTTTTAGCTCATGTAATTTTTTTAAAAACCACCACTTTGGGGAACCTGCTTCTCACCTGAGTAGTCCTGGCGAGTTCCTGGCATGAGTTCACATTTCACAGCCAGACGTCCCTTGTCACTTTTCTGTTCTCTAACCTGATGATTGATCTGCTGTAGTTGTTACTCAAAGAGGGTGACATGTTTGAATCAGAAGCTTTTGCAGAGATCACTGTTAACATGGCTGACGCCTTTCCTTCAGAGAGGCTCCTTGGCTGATGCCTTTGAGGTGGGGGTGCCAAGCTGGGGAAGCGACTCAGAGATGAGTAACTGTGGCTGCCCTGGGATGCGCCCCCGCAGACAGGCTCCTGGTGGCCCTTGTGAGTGAGGAGTGCTGTCCCTGCCTCTGGAGCGTGACCTTGGGCTCTGACGCGTCCCTGTTTCTCTTTGCAGACGCTGGACCTCTCCAACAACCAGCTGAGCGAGATCCCTGCAGAGCTTGCGGACTGCCCCAAGCTCAAGGAGATCAATTTCCGCGGGAACAAGCTGAGGGACAAGCGCCTGGAGAAGATGGTCAGCGGCTGCCAGACCAGGTCCATCCTGGAGTACCTGCGTGTCGGAGGCCGCGGTGGCGGAAAGGGCAAGGGCCGTGCCGAGGGCTCGGAGAAGGAGGAGAGCCGGAGGAAGAGGAGGGAGAGGAAGCAGAGGCGGGAGGGCGGCGACGGGGAGGACCAGGACGTGGGAGACGCCGGCCGGCTGCTGCTTAGGGTCCTGCACGTCTCCGAGAACCCCACGCCTCTGACAGTCAGAGTGAGCCCCGAGGTCCGGGACGTGCGGCCCTACATCGTGGGTGCCGTGGTGCGAGGCATGGACCTGCAGCCGGGGAATGCGCTCAAGCGCTTCCTCACCATGCAGGTGGGTGCCGTGGGGCCCTCAGGTGACGGGGACACGGGTGTGGGACACCGCAAGCTGGGATGCATCCTGGAGTGAGCATGTCCGAAGGAGCAGCAGTGGAATATGGGGCCTCGCCAGGTGTCTGTGTGCCTCAGTTTCCTCAGCTCCTAAGCAGGAATAGAGCAGCTTCTGGCCCAGGTGTTGCTGAGGAAGGGGTGAGGCCTCTGCCTTCTGGGAGGTGGGTGTCCCCAGCATGGAGATGGCCTCTTCACAGATGCCTGCAGCCTGGCCTGGGCCCGCTCACTGGCCCTGTCCCTCACTCCTCCACATAGAGCATTAACGGTTTATCCTAATTTTTTTTTAAGGAGTCGCACTGTGTCCCAGGCTGGATGGAGTGCAGCGGCGCAATCTAAGCTCACTACAGCTCTGCCTCCCGGGTTCAAGCGATTCTCCTGCCCCAGCCTCCCGAGCAGCTGGGATTACAGGTGTCTGCCATCAGATCTGGTTAATTTTTTTGTATTTTTAATAGGGTTTCACCATGTTGGCCAGGCTGGTCTCAAACTCCTGACCTCGAGTGATCCGCCTGCCTCAGCCTCCCAAAGTGCTGAGATTACAGGTGTGAGCCACCTTGCCCGGCCTGTCCTAATTTTTGGATAGCTTTATTGCAGTTGAAAATTAGGGTTCCATCCAGGCATGATGGCTCATGCCTGTAATCCCAGCACTTCAGGAGGCTGAGGCGGGTGGATCGCCTGAGGTCAGGAGTTCGAGACCAGCCTGGCCAACATGGTGAAACCCCGTCTCTACTAAAAATACAAAAATTAGCGGGCATGGTGGCAGGTACCTGTAATCCCAGCTACTGGGCAGACTGAGGCAGGAGAAGCGCGTGAACCTGGAAGGCGGAGGTTGCAGTGAGTTGAGATTGTGCCATTGCACTCCAGCCTGGGCAACAAGAGCAAGACTCCATCTCAAAAAAAAAAAAAAAAGAAAAGAAAAAGAAAATCAGGTTTCTTGATGTTCTGATATTTTAGTGGGCTTTCTGACGTCCAAAGTAAGTCGTACGTTTTGTTTCATGTAAGATGGTATTAAAATTGTCAGCTCCTGCCAGCACATTCTTCTGTGAATTTTTAGGGTTTGGCAAAACTAACTTCCCAGTTTGTTGTTTTTCTGTGATATCCGACCAACTTTTAAGATTAAAAACCACACCTGTGCCTAGGGGAAAGTCCCATGCACCCCGTAGAGGCAGAGACAGCGTGTGCAGCCCGAGAGTGACTGTCGTGGGGGTCTTTCTGCCCGCAGTTGAGGAAGGAAGCGAACAGGCACCTCAGCCAGGGTTTTAGAAGCTGAAGCTCGGCTTTTATTTACATTTTAGTTCGAAATGAGTTCTTTGAAATCTCCAATATGGTGTCTAGAATTAGAGAAGGAAGAAGGTCTGCTGTTTGACAGGTTAAGGTAGTTTTCCTGATGGTGATTCCAGAGAGCGGGTGCCCTGGCTGGCCTGGGCGGAGAAGACTTGGAGGAGAGCCCCGTCTCGGAAAGAGGCGTGGTGGGGCTGTGAAGGCCGAGGGCTGGGAGGGTTTCCTGGTGCCCAGCCTGCCCGGCTTGGGGTGAAGCATGGATACCGTGCTGGGCTTCGGGGCGCAGGAGGCCTCGCTCACCGCTGCTCCTGTGTTACAGACCAAGCTCCACGAAGATCTCTGTGAGAAGAGGACAGCCGCCACCGTTGCCACCCACGAGCTCCGAGCCGTCCGAGGGCCCCTGCTGTACTGCGCCCGGCCCCCGCAGGACCTCAAGGTGCCGCCGCCCCCTTTCCCAGGCCTGCTCCAGGGCCTCCTTGGTGCCCTTCAAAGGGGCCGTGCTGATGCTGGAGCCCGAGCAGTTTCTTCAGAACTGCAAACACGGCCTGCTCTTGCAGAGACGTGAAATCATGAAACAGGCCGCATTTGCGGTTACACTCAGAGCGGTGCCCAGCCGTGAGAGGGCTCGGCAGAGCAGCGGTCGTGGGAAAGTAGTTTCCTTCACTTGCTCACTACCTTTCCATCAGAAATGTTGGTCTCTATTCTGACTGTAAAACGCTCTTCGCGGGGTTGGCAGTAGTGGGAGTTGCTGTGTCGTGGTGCCGTCCCTGGGCTATTCTGTGCAGTGCATGAGGTCCCTGCCGCTCAGCCTTTCTCTCCTCTGTTGGCCTTCTGAGGATGGTAGGTCTCCCGAGACACAGCCGTGCATGAGCTGGGGTTAAGGCGGAGGCCCGCTTCGGCAGGACTGGTGGGTTTGGGCGTCAGGTCTCCCTGGGACGCGGCAGATGGAAGCCCGCCTGTAGCTCCCTGCCTGTTGTAGAGATGAAGGAGGGCAGCAGTCGGGACGGCTTGTGGAGGCTTAAGGCCATAGTCGACAGGACGACGAGTTCTTTGGCTGGGACCGTTGTGGAGTTTGTGGGTTTCTGCCTGATAGATCGTCCCCTTGGGGCGGAAAGAAGCAAAGGCCAAGGACCTGGTTCGGCAGCTGCAACTGGAGGCCGAGGAGCAGCGGAAGCAGAAGAAGCGGCAGACGGTGTCGGGCCTGCACAGGTGGGCAGGGCGCCGCGGGAGGCGGGGCCGGCCAGGCATCACGGGGGTGGCCTCCGCTGGTTAGTCTGTGCTCCTCAGGAACCACCTAATGCTCCCAGAACCTGAAGCTTCTGACGGGGTAAAAAGAAAAAAAGAAAATCTCTTTCCAAAGGAAACGTAGTTAAAGCATTCTCATCTAGATGGCCCCGATGTGAGGGGAAGTGGAGGCATCTGCGGAGGGAGGGGAAGGTGTTAGGAGCTGAGGGATTGGCCATGCCACAGGAGGCGGGTGGCGCTCGCATGGGATAGGATGGCATATAAAGCAGCCATCATCAGGAAAGGGGCGTAAACACCAGCCCAGCCCCCAGGCTGGATCGAGGTGGCCAATCGTAGGCGCAGTCCCACTGCTGATGAGCACTGGAGCTTTCTGTCCTGCTGTGTTTCTGGCCTGGGCTGGCTCCTCCTGGGGCAGCCTGGTGGTCCTCTGCCCCCAGGAGCTCCTCGTAGTGATGACAGGCTCACTGTAGACCCTCCATTGGCTCCGCACACCACAGCCAACCCCTCGGCCCCTGCAACCCTCCTGTCTCAGCCTCCTGAGTAGCTGGACCCCCACGCACATGCCACCACACCCTGCAAAGTATATCTTTTATAGTTAGGCCTGTCATTTGTCTCTTTCCACACAGATATCTTCACTTGCTGGATGGAAATGAAAATTACCCTTGTCTTGTGGATGCAGACGGTGATGTGATTTCCTTTCCACCAATAACCAACAGTGAGAAGACAAAGGTAGGGTGGCGTGGATGTGAGCATGGTGTGTCTTGTGGGCTGTGCCCTGCAGCATCAACACAAGTGCCTACTCCATCATCGGGTCTTATTGGTGCAGAAGAAAATGCAGCCCAGAGGGGACAAAGGGCCCTGGCTTCTCAGAGCTGCAGCTCACTGTTCACGCTGGGTGCTGCGTGGTGGCTGGGATGCTGCAGAGCTGCAGTCCTCATCTCTGTAGGAAAGGAGTGGGCTTGGTGTATGTGGCACCATCTGCTTGATTGATTGAGACAAGTCTTGCTTTGTTGCCAAAATTGGTGTGCAGTGGCGAGATCATAGCTCACTGCAGCCCCAAACTGAAACTGTTGGGCTCAAGCAGTTCTCACACATCTGCCTCCTGAGTAGGGACCACAGGCGCGTGCTGCCACACCTGGCTAAATTTTGTATTATTTTTGTAGAGACGGGGTCTCACTATGTTACCCAGGCTGGTCTTGAACTCCTGAGCTCAAGCGATCCTCCCACATCAACCTCACAAAGTGCTGGGTTTACAGGTGTGAGCCACAGTGCCTGGCCACACAGTTTTGTAGACTTTTCTTGGGAACAAATGTTGAGCTGCTGATGTCTACATTTGATAAGGGTTCTCTTCTGAAATCCTTTCTTTAAGGTGAAGAAAACGACTTCTGATGTGTTTTTGGAAGTGACAAGTGCCAGCAGCCTGCAGATCTGCAAGGATGTCATGGATGCCCTCGTTCTGGTGAGTGTGCGCTGGCTCCTCTGGAGAAGCGCTTTCCGAGGGGAACGGTGCCCTGCTCATTGCCTGCCCACCTGTCCTCGTTGCCTTTCTTGCTTACTGCAGTGGCTGGCGGCAGCATATCTTCCCTGGGTCACTTCTCATCCAGGTTAACAAGGTACTTTTCATTTGCAGAAAATGGCAGAAATGAACAAGTACACTTTCGAAAATAAAGAGGAAGGATCACTCTCAGATACCGAAGCTGATGTAGCTGCTGGACAACTTTCAGATCCCAGCACGAGTCCCAGTGCCGCAAAGAACGGGCCCTCCCCGCTGGTGGTGGAGCAGGTCCGGGTGGTGGACCTGGAGGGGAGCCTGAAGGTGGTATACCCGTCCAAGGCCGACCTGGCTACTGCTCCTCCCCACGTGACTGTCGTGCGCTGACGCCAGGGCCCCCTGTCCAGCCTGTCCACATTCATTCGGCCTGTTTTACAGAGGTTTCTATGTGGCAATGCTGAATTATCCGTTATATTTTCACCTCAGCATTTTTAAAGATGTATGTATTCGTTGTTCTGTTTTTCCAGATGATTCTGTCGTAAAGTGATGCTACATTGTTGTTACAAGACCGACCTGATTTTACAGTCTTTTATGGAATTACTTAAATGTCAGAATTGACTGTTGGGAATGTTCTGAGTCACGTAGATATGTGGCAGGTGATTCTGAGAGCAAAGACACTACAGGCCTGCGCCACGTGACAGCATTTGGGTCAGGGACTGACACCTTCGTGACGGGCCACGATGTTCTCGTGGAGTGTTTGGAAACTTGGTGTGTGGCCTTGTAGATACGTAGGGGAAGTGACTGATGTTCAGTCATGCTGCTGGGACACTTGGCTTTCCATAGGAAAAACATATAAATCCACTACATGCACCATCGTGGCTGGCGTTAAGTCTGATTGCGCAGCAGCAGCTGAGCACATGGTGCTTGTGTCACTAAGTGATGCATGACTGTAACTGGAGCCTGGAAAATGGGAAACTGACCGATGTGCGTTTCCTCAGACAGCGCAGTCACTGGCTGTGACACAGCACCTGTTAGACCCTGTCCTGCCGGCGTGCAGCTGGGGGTGTGCAAGGACGCTGGGTTTTCCAGCTTGTGGTGATCACAATCTATGGGAAAAGTGTTAATGTGACCTTAGAATTGATAGAACTGCTTCTCTTAATGCTGTTGGATTGCTCTGTGGGACAGACGGTAGCAGTAACCGGAGGACGCTTAGGTTTTTGAACCAGAAATCCTCGTTTACACACGGATGGGTCCTGGGTGCCTTCTCTTGTAGACGTTTCTGTTGTGAATGTCCAGGTCAGACCCCCATGTCCGTGTGTCTTCATGTGTGTCCAGGCACATGTGCCTGCACACTGCTCCCGGGAGTCAGTGTGCTTGGGTCATGAGGACCCGGCCAGCCGCCGCCATCTTTCACGGACCCTACTGCCTTACAGTCTGGCTGCCATGTGAGAAGCAGCCTCGTCAGCTTTACTGAATGACACCGTTTTTCTGTTCAGTGTCTCAGTTTCTTTGTAGAAATGACTGGCAGTTTGGGGGAGAATCTGAGCCCCACAACCCCTTTCATCAGAACCAGAGAGGCCCAGGGCCCTGTGTGCTGGGCAGACAAACAGCTGAGTGGCTCTTCAGAGCTTGTAGGACACACACAGGCCAGGTGGCCTTGAGACCTGGATCCACTTGTCCTGGTCACTGCCAGGCTTCCTGTCTGGTCCACTGTGGGAGGGAGGGGACTCCAGACAGGCTGAGGAAACGAGGCCCACACTCGGTGCCAGCTGGACGTGTCGCACGGCCCCTTCTAATTTCCTGCTGCTCTGGACAGTCAAGAGAGATGCCACAGTTGGCCCGGACCTGCACTACTAGAAGTCTGAGGCAGCTCAAGGCTTCCCCAGGCCAGGACTCTGCTGGAGCTCTGGGCTGGGGGCCCCAGAAAGTGGCTCTGAGAGGTGATTTGGGGATGCTGTGCAGAGGCTGTCCTTTCTCCGCGTGGCCCAGCCTGGGAGGGAGAGGTGCTGGAGCTGCCATCTTGGCTCCCAGGGACTTGGTGGCCACACTGTAGCACATCTGTCACCGGGTGGATGTGGAACGAGGCTGTCATGTGCTGTGCCCTTTCCTGATGCGGCTTGTGATGCGTGAGGTGCTGGATATGTATTTAACTTGCAGGGGAGGTCTCTTTGATGTTTGCTTCACCCCACCCCCGACTCACTAATAAAAAGCACTGTACAAAAACCAGCTCCACTCCTGGCCCAGCAGATCCTTGCCCACCGCCATTGCCAGAGCCTGTTGATCCAAGTGTCACAGAGTTCTCTAGCACAGCGTGGCTTCCACATGGGGAGGCTGAGGGCCTGCTGTCCCTGCCCAGATCCTGTCAGCAGGGAGCACAAGGCACCTGTGGCTATCACAGGGAAGCCAGTGCCCTTGATCAGGGGTCCTGGGAACCGGCCCCACCTTGCTGGGCCCCTGCCTGGAGCACAAGGTGGCCCAGAGGTCTCGGGCTGCCTGGACCTCCCAGGTGCACGCTCAGCGGGGCCCAGGCCCCAGACGCACCCCAGCAGATCCTCCTGTTCATGACTCTCGGTGAGGCAGGGTCCTGTCTTACCCTCTCCCCAACTCTCCAGGGCCGTAAGGACACTGCCCAGCTCAGCCCAGGCCCATGACCCTGGGGGTCCTGGGGCCAGAGCTGCCATCTTCACCATGGCCACTTAGGGGGACAAGAGGTACACCCGAGACGCGGCTGTGCGTAACGAGTGCCTCCACTGAGCGCCCATGGGTGTCTGCCTGCAGCCTCCCTTGCTGGGGCAGGCACGGCTGCTGGCCGGAGCCCCTGGCTGATGATGCTGGGCCCCTGCCAGGGCGGGCCCAGACGTAGCCAGCCAGATCTACCTGTGCCATCTGCTGCCGGCCCTGACAGGTGGGGAGAGCATTTGTGGGGTGCATGGGCAGCAGCAGCAGCAGCAGCACTAGGGCCACTTCCCCTCCTTTGCTGGAGAACTGGGGCAACCCCCATCCCCATCCTCCGCCCTCACCTGGCTCCTGGGCTGTACCAGTTCTTGGAGAGGCCCAGCCCCAGACCCCGATCGGAGTGCTGTCTTCTGGAGCCCATGCAGCCGAACTGCCTCTGCCACTCCCCCACAGTAGCCCCAGCGCGGTGTCGTCCTGTGTATCCAGGCTCCAGGGAGGGCACCAGCGGGCAGCTCCCCTGCCTCCTTGGAGTGGCAGGTCAGAGGGAGGGATCTCTTTTTTGGAGACTCCTGCTGAGATGCAGGCTGTCATGGCTGGGGCAGGCAGCAGACCACCCCTCAGCAGGCTCCCAGGAAAGCAGCATTGCTTCAGACCCCAACCCAGGACAGGCCCTTGGGCTTCTCTCGGGTCTGGAGCCAGGCACCGTGGGACAGTGTACAGTCCGCCATGCAGCTCCACCTGCAGACCTCAAGGGGACCTGCTCACCCCAAAGGTGGATGCTGTGGAGTCTGCCTCCCACCAAGACTGGCCCAGCCCCTCCCGTTTACCTGACTTAATGCATTTGGTGGGTCCTGGCCTGGAGAAGGCACGGCTTCATCCTTCTGATAACCTCATCTGGCCCCGTGGCCTCCCTTCTCTGTGCCCGTGAGGACAGTGGCTGCCTGTGTTTCCCACCCCCAGCCCTGGGGTGAGGACCCCTTTCCTAAGGGGAGGTTTCTGGCAAGGGTCTTTGGGGTCTTTTGTGGTAGGCGAGGGCTATGGCCTCACAGGGCAGGGAATGGGACTGAAATCCTTGGGGCACAGCTGAGGTCCAGCCACATCGTGGCCCCAGGCTGACCCAGTGTGCTTGTCAGAAGGCCCTGTTCGGAGGAGTGCATTCCCAGAGCCGCATGGGAGCGGCCTGCCCGCAGGGGAACAAGCCCTTCCCATAGCCTTTCTGGATGTCACACCTGTCCAGGCAACTATGGCAAAGGCTGGCACCCACCGTTTATTTAAGACACTGCCCCTGTGCACACGGTCTTGACCCACAAGGAGCACGTGGAGGGGTCAGGACCGTCCCTGGGGAGGGAGGGTAGACCTGGGTTCTCCCTGGCAACCGCCAGCCCCAAGAGGAAGAACTGTGCCCACTTTACTAAGGAAGACGTGGTGCATCTGGGACAAGGGCCAGGGCCCGCTTCCTGCTCTGCACAGGAAACCTGGGGCTGGGGTCTTAGTCCCCTAGGGAAGGGCGGGGGACACACAGCCCTTGTTGGAATCGGGACACACAGCCTTACAAAACCAGGAATCAGGCCCAGAGAAGCCGGGGGCCTGCCCAGGGCACACAGCTCTGCACAAGGCCCCCTCGGAGGGAAGCAGTGGGAGGGTCCTCCCTGGGGGGCTGCTAGGGAGGTGAGCAGTTTGCCTGCCAAAGAAACCCCTCATCCTGACCTTGACAAAGAAGGGGCTGGGCCCTGGGCCAGGGGAGGCTGTGGCTGGGGGCTCTGGGACCTGCAGTGTGTCCCGCAGCTCCTGCTGAGGCTGGGCCCAGGTCTCCCAGCTGCGTGTGCCCAGCTGTTTGTAGATTCTTTGAAGGACCGTGTGCCAGGTGTGTGTGCGCCCTCGTGTGGGGCCTGTGACAGCTGCGCACCTGGTGTCTTCGTGGGCCTGGGTGCTGGTGCGTGTGCCCTGTGCACTGTGTGTGCCACGGGGTCCATGTATACGGGTGCCTGCAGGCCTGCGCTCTCACACGTGCGCCGCCAGCCCCCGCCTGCTTGCGGGCAGCATTTATTTGCATTTGTGCACGTAGTAGCCGGTGAGGTAGCCCAGGATGAAGATGACCCAGAAGAGGGCCACACCGCCCAGCACCTTCATGGCGATGCCCAGCTTGCCCGAGCACAGCTTCTGGGAGATCCTGGGGTGAGAACCAACTGGAGGTGAGCCCCAGGCCAGGGCCACATGAGGGGCCCCCTAAGTGGACTGTGGCCATTGGGCCTGGGTTGGGGGAGAGGCCTGGGCACTCAGGAGGCCACCCACCCCCACCCACAGCCAACCAGAGGGAAGCCCCAGGGCTGTGGTCTGCTGAGCTGCTGGACCATGAGCTCCCAGCTGGGACAGGGTGGAGGGTGACGGGGCTGGCGGCGGGGGTTAGTGCAGGTGACTCCGGAAGGAGGGACCAACCTGCTGGGGCTGCAGGCTGCCCTCAGGCCCCTCACCTGTGGCAGTATGAGGCCTCTTCTGTGCTGGACACGGAACGTGTGTCAGCCCCCAGGCTGACTCCGTCCCGGCTGCCGTCCTCCCACCTGCTGTAGTGAACGTGGCTCTCCTGTGGCTGCATGCTGCCAGGTTGCAGTGGGAGGGGCGGAGCCTTCACGATGGGGAGACTGAGGCAGGCTGTGAGTTCACTGTAAAGCACAGCTAGATGGAGGGTGCAGCCAAGACCCGCTCTGGGGCTGCTGCTGGGGGAGGGGCTGCCTGGGGTTAGGCGAAGCGGGGCAGGTGGGGCACTGAGGGTTGGGGGCTGGCTCCCTCACTAGCTCTGTCACCTGACTTAACAGGTGACTTAGATGCAGAGTGGTTGAGTCACTTGCCCGGGGTAATGCCGGGAGGATGGGACCAAGCAGGAATTCCAACCCAGGGAGGCTGAAAGGCAGCCAAGCTCTGACCTCAAGAATGTGGGAGGCCAGAGTTTCCTTCCAGGGCGCTCCAGGGGCCTCTCTTCCCGGGTGCTTTTATCAGGGAGCCTGCACAGCCTGCCGCCCTCAAGAGACGAGGACACTGTGGCCCAACCCAGGCTGTAGCCCCTGATAATTGTTCCCCTCCGTAACCCTGCCTGATAAGGCTCCTGCTGACCTCTGGAAAGGCTGGTCGGGGCGTGGGGGTGGGGCAGGGCGGCAGGCTGGAGACGGCAGCTGGTACAGCTAGTCCAGTCCCTGTCTGGGAAGAATGCGTGGCTCACCCCAGGCAGTGGCAGCAGCTGTGTCCTTAGCCTGTGTGGGTTGCAGCTCCTCTACCACCCACACCTCTGGGAGGGCCAGGGTTTGGGGGATGCACTGAGCATGGGCCTGGGGTGGGTTCAAGGCCTCTGGGAGGCCCTACAGAGAGGACGGTCACTGGGGCTCGGTGGCTGCCTGGAGGAGGAGAGGCCCAGCCCCAGCACTAGCTCCCTGCTGGGCTCCAGCTCCTGCAGGCCAGGGACTCATCTTTGCATGTCGGCACTCAGCTCGGTGGTGCCTGGCAGCCTAGGTGTCCAGAGAGGCAAGGAGACCGCAGGGACTGAGCAGGAACTCTGAGCACCAGTGCAGCTGCCCGGCAGGCCTGTGCCAGTCCCAGCTCTGGGCACCTCCTTTACTCTCTGGCCTCTGTTAGGACCTCCTGTTTACCTAAGGGGGCGCAGGGGTGGAGGGGACACCAGAAGTTGAGAACCCACCCAGGCTGTGGCATTTGGGGTTCGCTCTCTTGACTGTTGGGCCCCCAGTGTCCCCTCTGGGCATCTGGCCCCCAGGAGTGGGGTCCTCGAGCAGGCAGCGGCAGGCCCCTCACTTCTAGGGGCTGAGGCTATGCTGGGCCCCCGCCATTAGGGAAGGCTGACCCTCCTCTCAGGTCATTGACACAGAGGCCTAAAGGCACAGCAGCCACTCCCCTGCAAGAAACCAGCACAGAAACTCAAGCCCCGGGCATTTCTGAGACTCCTGGCATTTCCTGGTCTGCCCTTCCCCCAAAGTCCGGAGAGGCAGGAGGGAGCCCGTGTCAAGCCATAAAGTGTGCCTTCGGTGGGAGCCCTGGCTACTGAATCTACTGGAGTTAGTTTGCTCTCCCGGAGCCTGTGGAGCTGTCAGCTGCCTACCCAAGGTTCACACCCTCTGGCCTGGTGAGCAGAATCCCAGTCTAGTCCCAGCAGCAGTGTGCCAGACCCAGGTGACAGCCACGACCAGGGTAAGACAAGCTTAATATCACCACCCCTGTGTTCCCAAGTCACCCAGCTGTGGGCCAAGAGCCAGGGTGCAGCAAGGGATGCGAGAGCCTTTGCTTCTGTGAAAGCAGCACAGCCTGGATGTGATGGCTGGAGCTGCAGCAGCCGCCTTGCGACCCCACATCCAGGCAGCATTAGTCCCGGGAGTGCTGAGTCTCCGTCCCCAGCAGCAGCCCACCACCTCCCAGCAGCGGCCTCTCTGTGGGAGGCGTCAAGCCCAGTGTGTTCAGGCCTGGGATCACGGGTTCGTCTTGCTGGCTGACATAGAATGTGCGGTTCCCAAGTCATCCGGGTGGACAAAGCCACCAGAGCCGGCCCTCGAGGCTGGCCTCCCTCCCTCACTCGGTCAACATCTGTTCACACTTCCCTGACAGTCACTGGTGTGGCGGCAGGAACCCATCAGGCCCTTCCTGCACTCTCAAACCTCCCAGGAGTTTGTGAGTGCAGGAAGGTCCTAGGCACACAGCGGTCCCCGCACAGACCTCTTCACCCCGCAGCGCCTCAGGGCCCCACACTTACCCGAGAACCTTGCCTGAGGACTGTGGCCTCAGGGAGTGGTCAGGGCCTGGCCAGCGGCCCGCACCTTCCAGCGAGGCAGGCCGTGGGCTGAGGTGCAGCAGAAGCCTCGAGCCTAAAAAAATAAGAAAGGTGACCGGAGGGGCGGCCTTGCTAGAGGCCGGGAAGGGAAAGTAGCCGGGGTCGGGGGTCCCCAATGGCCACCGAGAGCCGGGCACGCAGTTCCGGGTCTGGCCCCGCTCTGCGGGTTGGGCCGGGGTTGGGGGGGGTCAGTCCAGGGCACGGCCCCAGCCCCCCCCCAATTTTCAGCCAGCGAGGCCGTGCCCAGGCCCACCTCCCCACTGCGGCCGCACCGGGAAGCCGCAGGCCGGACCCCGCGCGCCTCACCTGCGTCCCCGCGTATCCCGGCTCCGCAGGGGTCGGGACTGGGCAAGGGACGAGGGCTGGGGCGGGGCCACGCGGGTAAGGGCTGGAGCCAGCCGCGGGAAGACGCCTGGTCTAGCGGGCCGGGGGCGGGGCGAGGGCGGGGGCGGGGCGGGGCCGTGCGGGGAAGGGCTGGAGCCAGCGGCGGGAGGTGCCTTGTCCAGAGGGGCCGGGGCGGGCCCGGGGGCGGGGAGGGGGCGGGGCCTTACGGGGAAGGGCTGGAGCCAGAGGCGGGGGGGCGGGGCGGGGCGGGGCGGGGGCGAAGGGGGCGGGGCCGTGCGGGGAAGGGCTGGAGCCAGAGGCGGGAGGTGCCTGGTCCTGAAGGGGCTGGGGGCGGGGCCATATCTGGACGGGCTGGGCCAGTAACCGGGAGGCGCCTAGTCCGGAGGGGGCCGGGGCCGGAGACCCAGGGCCGCACATCCCCGCTGCAGGGTGGTGCTGGCGGCCGAGCGGCACCTGCGGAGGGTTGCACTCCCCGCCCCCAGACGCCCCGCCTTGGGGCCTCCAGGGTCTCCGACCACCTTCACCCTCGCTGCAGCCCCTCCCACGCCCCGAGCTGGGGACCCGGCTGCATCGCGGAGGAGACTGTGGGAGGCTCTGGGCGCGTCTGGGTCTGAGTCCTGGGGACTGAGGACCCGGCCGCGGGGACCGTCCTCCTCCATGGCTTGAGAGGTGTGGCGCCCGCACGTGGCCCAAGCTCGGTGCTCGCCGCGGGAAGGGAAGCAGGTGCGGGTGGGGAGCAGAGAAGGGCGATGGGAAAGTCCTTCCTTCCGCAGGAGTTCAGGCGCCCAGAGCCTGCGAGGCGCCGGGGATCCTCAGGGAACACAGACACCGTCCCTGTCCGTTAAGCTTTCCTTCCGAGAGCGGGGGTGGCGGGGATGGGAACAGAGTCCCCGACACTCACCACCTTCCAGAGGAGTCCTCCAGCAAGAGAGTGCCCCAGCCAGGAGAGCTCCCGGGGCTGGAGGTCACAGACCCCCTCTGCTCAGTAGGCGTTAGGCCTGTGCTGGGTGCTGGGCGGACACCCCGGCTCAGGCCTCCTGCAGCCTGGGGCCTAGAGGGGACCTGCTAGGAGCTAGGGGCACAGGCTGGTGTGCTGATCTCCAGTCCGTGAGCTTTGGCATTATGGGGGCATTGTTGTACCCTAAGGTCTCAGAGGAGAGTAGGACCCCGCATGGATCCCAGAGAAGAAAAAGGTGGAGCAGTGCCAACACCAGGGTTTAATTCTGAGTCCGCGAACAGGACGCATGGTGGGGGCAGGTGGTTCTGGAGCTGGACCCTGGCCTCTGCTGAGCTGGCCGCATTTTGGACGCCTGGCTGGGGCTACTTGGAGGCCCCCTTCTTGGATTTGCTGGTCAGTAAGGTCTCTGACTGTTGCAGCGGGAGCACTTTGACGCCTTTCTGCTTCAGCTGATTATAGTAGTCGCTTCTCTCTGAGATAATTCTCTGCACAAGAAACACAGCCGTCGAGGTGGCCTTCCCAGTGCCTCACCTTGCCCTTGAGACCGGTCTGCCCAGTCCATGCCAGCTGCCCAGGACCCCACCCTCTCTTCCTCCAGAGGGGCTCCCTGCAGCTGGGGTGTGCTGGTGAATACTTACAGCTGGCTCTCCCGGGGGAGAAAAAAAAACCAAAAAACCCTCAGCTTTGTGGCATTGCTGATTTCTGTGGTGTGAATACTCCCAATACTCCATGACGGCTGATTTTTAGCCACGGACGTGAAGTCACAGAACGCAGAGCCGGGAGCAGGTGCAGAGCACCCACTCGCAGGAGCCTGCGCTGCGGCCCCTTGTTCAGCCCTCTTAGAACTGTGAGGAGCCCCAGACTCCTAAAGACCTTTGAGGTCATCGCATCTGTCCCTCAAGTCCCTTCTTTTGTCCTGTGCAAAGGGAAGGTTGTCCCCAACCCTCTTCCAATTTCCTCGTCTCTAGGCCATTGCTGTTTCATGTCAGGCTATAGCAAGCAAGCAAAGAAAGGTGCTCTTCCCTGGCTCCTGTGTGGTGGGAATAACTCCCTCCATCCTCTGTCTTCCCTCTTCTCTTCCTCTTTCCCTCCGCATTCTCTGCCCTCCCCCAGACAACAGTAACAAGGGCACAGAGACCTCCCCCCACCTTACAGCTCCGCAGGGCCCACCCACTCTGCAGAGGAAGGGAACCAAACCCCAGGAACGTGAGTGCTGGAAGGAAGGTCATGGGTGCACACTGGGGTTCAAGGGCAGCCCCAGAAGGGAAAGGGTGGTTCCTGGGACCAGAAGCAGCACCTGGTGAGAGGTGACCCCTACAGAGCACACAGCCCCACATGGAGCTACAGCCGGTGCCCGACTCCCGGAGATCTGAGTCCCATGGCACCTCACAGGTGGGCATGGACTCCTTATCACAGAGGGAGGTGTCTGTGGCTCAGAGAAGTGAGTGTGTGGCCCACAGCTGGTGGCTGGTGACCCCCCTCATGCCCAGTGACCCTAAAGCCCAAGTTATTTCTCCTACACCCCTCTACTTCTCGGAGGCCCCTGCTTGGGGACCACTGGTCAGGAAGGACCCAGGAGGCTGTGGCCAGGGTGGGAGGATTCTGCACCAGGGCCCCAGCTCAGTGGGTGGCGATACCAGCAGAGGGGACTGAGCTGGACAAAGCCGGGGCTGGGCTCCTGCTGCAGGAGAATTTCTGTGACCAGGCGGCTTGTCCCCTCTCCACAGTGCTCATGGTTTGTGGCGGTTACGGCTGGTCTCTGATGCCCCTCCTCCTTTGTGCTGAGAGTGGCTAAGACTCCCATGCCATGCCCCCACCCTCATTAGGGATGATCTAGCCACCTCTGCCTGATCAGAGAGAAAGGAGGGTCCTGGGGACCAGGCGAATAATTGACACAGCTAGGATGAGAACAGAGTTCCCTGAATCTAACCCAGGCCCTCCCACCCCCTACCCTAGCTCACCTTGGGGGACGGGGCCCAGATGGAGGCGGCTGAGCTCAGGGGTCTCCTGGGGGGACGGGGCCCGGATGGAGGCGGCTGAGCTCAGGGGTCGCCTGGGGGGACGGGGCCCGGATGGAGGCGGCTGAGCTCAGGGGTCTCCTGGGGGGACGGGGCCCGGATGGAGGCAGCTGAGCTCAGGGGTCGCCTGGGGGGACGGGGCCCGGATGGAGGCGGCTGAGCTCAGGGGTCTCCTGGGGGGACGGGGCCTGGATGGAGGCGGCTGAGCTCAGGGGTATACCTGCAGGGCTTCTAGGATGTCATTATCAGAGATCTCGTTGGCCAAGGACTTGGTCCCGGAGATGCTGAAGGTGGCCTGGATGATCTTATTCCGAAGCCTCTCAAGCTGTGAGCAAAAGACAACACCATTACTCGCCTTTGCCCGAGAGGGCGCCTGGCCAGTGAGCTGTACCCCTCCAACACCTTATTTTTTATGGGCCAGGAAGGAACAGCTCACCCTCACTCTTCATGGCTTTAGAAACTGGAAATGGGGGCCAGAGAAGTCAGCGTGGGCTGCCTGCGAGCGAGGAGGCGCCTGCGAGCTAGAGGCGCCGGGTCCAGCCCCTGACCCTGGTGGCCCAGCCCCAAAGCCCACACTCTTGTACACCAGGCGGGCTCTTCTCATTGGAAAGTAAAACCTGCACATAAGTTTGTTTTTTGTTTTTTGTTTTAAGAAACCAACAAACCAAAACAGTACAAGAGTTGCAGGTAACCTCTGGGCCGCTGCAGTGAGCGGACTTCCTGGCCCTTGGGGACACTCTCACTCTAGGCATTCAGCTGCACCGGTGGCCCTTCCTCCTTTCCATGCTAAGGAGGAGGCGTCTGTGCCGTGGACAGCAGCCTTGAACCTGGCCCCTCACTCGGAGCCGGAGGGCCGTCTAGTCTTCTGATGCCGTGAAGAGCCGTGTCTGCCTGTACACCTGCAGCCACCTCCCCAGAGGTGGCTCCTCATGCCTCCCAGGAAGCTGCCGAGGAAACTCCTCCTGTCTGTGCCCCAGGAGCCTCAGGCAGGAACCCCTCCAGTTACCTAGCACGCTCAGTGCCGGTTCCTGTGGGGAACATTCCCCTGTGAGACCCCCAAAAGGCGTGGGTCTCACTATACGGTGAGTTTGATCCCAAACACAGTTTCCTGTTGGAGGCAGTCAAGCTATCGGGAAAAAGGAACTGAAAGATGGATGATCAGTTTCTAGTATCAACCACGATATCGTTTGGGCCTAAAACTATGCGGTGCTGCTAGACCGAGTGACTCCCTGCCAGCAACCAGTTTTTGCTTTTAACTTTTTATGACTCTTTTCTTTAAGAATAAGCTTTAAACTTTTCTTTACTTGCCTGACTGCCTCGTACCCTAGATAATGGTTTAACTGTGGGGATATTTGCAAAGCAAATGCCACCATATGGGATGGCTTTGATCCCTGACTCAGAGACTCCTGAATGGGGGAATTGAGATAAGTTGAGTCAGGAGCAGACAAAGGAGAATCTGGTTAAAAGATATTCTGATGAGCAAAACCAGAAAACCTTTTCACATCTCAGTTCTAAAACAAGATCAAACCAGAAATACCTGCAACCATGAGGAGTAATGTCTGGATGTAAACAAGCTTTGTGATCACAGGAAATTCTGTTACTTTTTACAACCACTGATTGTGTATCTGACTTCTCTATTGTATAGGCCATGTAAGGTATAGATTGGCATTTCTCATCCTAGCTGTGTCATCTATTCGCCTGGTCCCCAGGACCCTCCTTTCTCTCTGATCAGGCAGAGGTGGCTAGATCATCCCTAATGAGGGTGGGGGCATGGCATGGGAGTAAACCAGAGCAAAGAAAGTGTATTTATTCCTGGCCTTTGAAAAATAAAGGCCGCTGTTTAGGCACAGCCTATCCAGCCCTCCAGACGCCTCGCTTTTTCTGTCTCCCTTTCTTCTGCACACTCTCTCTTCCAGGTATTGGGACCCTCTTGCAGGTCGAGAGACCCCCAGCAGACGTGCCTACCCGTCCCGGACAGTCGCCGACAGGTTCCTCACCAAGAAACCCTGACGACGCAGAGGTGCCCAAGGGGAGCCGGGTCCCAGAGGCTCAGCCTGGCCTCTGAGTGGCAAGCATGTCCACACTGCCACTTGGATGGGTTTATA